ACCGACCGATCTATGTAACTTCAGTAGTTTGTAAAAGCATGTAAAGAATCCTCAAACGAGCCTCGCAGCTGCATCTTGTGAAGCTGAATATATTGTCCTCTGCTCAGCATGGCTTCCGGAAGTCACGTTCTTTTACCTCCAACCTTGTAGCCAAGGAAAATTAAGTGCATTCGTTAGCTGCTGGCAATCGCTTAGACTTCGTCTTCGTTAACTTCGGCAAGGTATTTGACAAAGTCCCCCACAAAAGACTTCTTTCTATACTACGCTGTGTTGATGCATCTTGTGGATACTTCTTTGGATCGATGACCTTTTGATCTTGCGTAGCATGCAAGTTAAAGTGAATCAAGCTTTTTCCGCGCTTGTTTCCATGACTAGTGGGATTCCACAGGGCTCTGTCCTTGTTCCTGAGCTTTTTAACGTCCACATTAATGACCTCCCATCGGAACTTCAAACAAACTGTTTAAACTACGCCGATGATCTCAAACTATAGCTAGAGATCTTCAGAGCTGAAGATGCTGACCAGTTGCAGGGGACGATAGACCTGGAAGTGATTGTTACCCATCAATCGAGACACATGTTCTCTAGTCCCTCTCGGCACTTCTGTCCCATTCGGAGCCTATCACGTTGGCGGTTCCCTGCTTAAGAATGCGGCTTGTGAGAAGGACATCGGCGTACTAATTTCACCCGATCTATGCACAGTCCAGGACACCTTGAAGAAGGTCGTGACTGCTGATTGGATGCTCTACGATAAAGCGATCGTTTTCCAGAATGACGTCTGAAATCTTCAGACTACTGTTTACATCCCCTCGAACACGGGCCACCAGCAGCCTACCCTTTTACAAAGGCCGAATGCGCCTCGATTAAGAAAGTTCAACAGCGTGCATCAAAGTCCATCTCGGTGCTCCGGAATCTTCCTTACTCTTATTGGTTTCCATAAAAGAACCTGTTTTTCAGATTATCCCTGTCCTCGTGGCAACGTGATTTATGTCAGACATATTTTACAAGGATTGATTAACAGCCAGCTGCAGTTCTTTCCGTTCTAGACCGACAGTTCAACTCGGAGTCCCCATCGGAAACTATTGAAACCGAGGAGGCTCCATGTCTGCTGTGATGTCACTTTGTTCGCCCGTGTGGGGAATGACTTGGACAGCCTACCTGAGCCAGTTGATAGTCAATACACCGATAGATGTTTCAAAATATTACTGGGCCGCTATTCGATTAGTAAGCAAGGATCCTGCTGCTTTCGCTGCGACCGTTGATATCCCTTGTGAACTGCTGCTCCACAGCAATTTTCACGTCCCTGCACTGAATGCGAAGCGATGGACCTAACTTAGGACTTTATTCATGCTCTCTAAAACCCAATAAACCAATGAGTCACAAGTTCTCCATCTTCTCCAGGAGCTAAATTCTACTAATGCCGCAGGGATGAATGACAATTACCCGTTGCTTTCGTATGAACTTGCAAGCGAACTGTGACCCAAACACCTATCTATTCCAAATATCGCTTCACAGCTGCTTTTTGCCTAACGACTGGAAGGCGGCTATTGTCCGCCCGTTTTTAAAAATGGCGACAACCATTTCCGTGCCAGTTACAGAATCTAGTCTGTAATTGTTTGTTAGTTTGACAGGCGTACTGGCCAAGTTATTAGAGAAATTGGTCAAAGATGCGCTTGAGAACCATTTGCTGACGTTTGGTCTGCTCAGTCTACTTCAACATGGCTTTCGCATAGGTCACTCCTGCATGACCAATTTGCTAGCGGGACGCAAATGTTTGGCGGATGCTATGGATCGGGGTCATGCAATGGACGTGCTGTTTATTTACTTCTCCAAAGCGTTCAACACCGTACCACATTCTCGCCTTCTTTTAAACTTCATCTCTAAGGCATATCAGGGTGTGCTCTTAGATGGATCTCATTTCTGGAATGGATAGAGATGTGTCTGAGTCGGGTCTAGTCTATCCTTCCCTTAGCCAGTTTTTAATCTTGTTCCACATGGGTCGATGCTTGCTCACTGTTTTTTCCCTGTATGTAAATAAGTTTCCTTAACTGCTGGGGATACCGTATCTCATGTTTACAAGTGACTTGCAGCTTTGGTACCCATTGTCCGATTTCGATGTCCCCCAGGCTTTGCAACGAGCTCTTCAAAAACTTGGGGACTTGTCTACTCTGTGGTAGATTCCCATAAATTACATCATGTGTTCGTCTTTGCGCTTGGGGCCGAATGGCTCCCAAACGCGTTACCTGTTTGGCGGAAATGAACCACAGGATGTTTCTCTCAACTGCTAGATCTAAGGGTCATGGTGTCATCAGAGTTCAGGTACACTAGGAACTTGAGACAAACCACGTGCAAATTGTTTCTAGTGCTGTGGATGATCCGGAGACCATTCGGAATCATCGCGGGAGATATGTTTGTAAGCTTATTCGCAGCCTTCATTAGACCGCACTTGGAATACTTCATCCAGGCTTGTCCACCTTCCTTAATCATGGACAGGATGTCTGTAGTGTCGACGGTTATAACCAGAATGGATCATGGGCTACGGAACCTTTCCTACCTGTATGTTATTTAAGCTGGAAATGCATTATCCGCGCTATCGTGGCGAACTGATCTCCACCTATCGCATACTGACCTAGAAAATCAGACCTTATTTATTTTGGCTTTTCCAACCAGCTCGGCTTCCATGACTCCGGGGCCGCTCGATGAAGATACACAAGCCTTTATCTGGACGGACGTTGTGTTTATCACGCAGGTTAGTATACTCCTGGAATGCACCCCCGAGGACGTAGTGTTGTCACTAACAGTGAAGGAGTTTAAACCTAGACCCGACGCCCTTGGACTTCAGTTCTATAATTTCCCCTTCATATCTTAGTTTATTCGCCCTCATTGCATTATTAAATCTCTATTCCTATTGACTCTTTATGCTTTTGTCACTTTCCTACCTCAGTTTCTTATTTTAAGTGACTGGTGCGCTGGGGACTACCAGTACAGGCTACGTGGGTATTAGTTTATTGACCGTGTTGCGATTCGCACGTGCTGATCTGACTGTCCTAGATAGCATTTATTACGGACGAATAGTATCCTGGTTCTTCGATGCACTCTGGAAGGAACATCCACGGAAATTTAACCTACTGGTCCAGTCTCACTTGGGCTGGAACTCGAGAGAGAGATTATACTTGTATACTCGCGGGTACCCAAACAACGTTTTTCGCTGTCAACCCTCGGCTCTCATTTTTTGGTGTCTTTTGTTTTGCCAGTCCATGTTACATCTTTCTTGACTTTTTTTAACCCGGCTACTCTTTTCGATAACTGCTCTGCATTCAGTTGTCTTTCGCTCTTTCCCACTCTCGATCATTGTTTACCACCTCTGTCACTGTCTGTCTTGCAATTTACCGACGTTGTTGTTGTTCTTGGGGACTTGGACTATGAGGCTAGCGCAGTTTATGGTAGTTCAAGCTATACTGTGCCGGTAGCGGACGATTCCGGTGGCATACGGTGCGATGTCTGCAACCAGTTGTACCACCAGATTTTGTACGCACGTGACTACAAAGCAGTAAAAAATGCTATCCACCAGCGACAGTTTGCATTTTAGCTGTGTCAGTTGCTGTGGACGTTAGCAGGACCGCTGTACGCACATACTTCGGGCAGAGTGAGGGTTTACGGCAAAATTTCGTCACCCTTCAATATCTCCAGAGGTGGGAAACATGCTTGCCCGCTGTCGCCTTTAATCTTAAACTTCGCTATTGGCGAAGTCATAGAAACGGCGTTCGCAGGGCACGACTTAGGTGTGGAGTTGTTCCAGGTGACCGACTTCTTGACTTGGAGTATGCCGACGACATTGCGCTCATCTGTGACAACTCCTGAACGTGCCAAGCTGCATTGGATAGATTAGCTCTAGCTGTCAACCGCTTCGGGCTATACTCTGCTCCCTCGAAACGACTTCGTGCCAGCGATACTGTTCCAATTCTGCTCGTAAGGTATCAGCAGCAGATCTGACGATAGCATTGTTTTGATTTTGTCAAAATCTTTGTTGCATTCCGTTGGAATCCTTGAAAAGTAATCTTTGAGGATGGCCTCGCATACCATGCACTCGTGACAAAAATATGCTGTGGTAGCTCACCAATCCCAAGAAGCGGCGCAGCATGGTCTAATGTGGTGGAGGCATTTTTTGCTTGACCTAGATATTAACTGGGTCTAATCTTCTTCAATGTTGACCAATGCTGAGTCCTAATTGTTTCGCCGAATTCATGTAGAAAACGCTTGATCCCTGAGTTCCATCAGTCTGATTTTCAATATCCACTGGGTGAGTGCCGATGTTAGTGATACCATCCAAGTGAGCCGCACTAGATGGAAACTCCTATAACATAGTGTTCTTGATTCGCTAGAAAGTCGCAGAAGTTGTTTTCACGCCAAATGGTAGACGTGTATATCGAAACAGACTGCTTTGACGATTGATACTAGACAACTTCTGATAACCTTCGGTAACCGCCTCTTGAAGATAAGCATCCTGGCGAAACATATACCACCATTGAGCCTTACTAACGAATCTTTCGGCGAGAGCAACGGGTACTGGTACCCGTCCAAAGGGACATTCGGTCCGGTGAAGAAGTCGGTACAAATCCGGAGTTTCTCATTTTGCTTTATGTTCACTGCAATATGAGCAGCTCATGACGAGTAGTTCACAGACTGAAGGATCCAAATCTGTTACAGTTTCTCCAATTCCTGGTCATTGCTTTATATGGCCACATACGGTACTCAACGTTTGGGCCAAAAGCAGGCTTTGCACCGGGGCGGAACGACTGTAATGCTTTGGTTTCGTACAGCGACCAAGTTCATCCCGGAATACGCTCTCATATTTACAGTGCATACCATCTGACAGCACATTACTGGTTAGGGTGATCACAGACTGAAGACAGTTTATTTCGCACGGAATTCAATGGGATGTCCAAAAATTTGCGTGTTTTGATGCGGTTAAGGCCTTAAAGATTTGGGTTTGGCCGATTTGTATGGCAACGGATGTGAGTTTTATGAGTCCATCGGAAGCATTTAGCGCCGTGCGGTTAATCTTCCTCATGAGAGGTTGGCCGATCATCTTCCATGTGCTTTCTGACAATAAGATGATGTCAGTTGCTGTTTTTAGCTGAAGCCGCACAGACGTTGTGGTAGTTGTTGGACATTTGAGCCAAGCTGATCATTGTGTTGTAGGCAAGCCAGATGCCGATCAGTCGCTGCTCACGCAAACTAATCACGTCTGAAGGAAACAGAAGGATCAAGCTCAGCTCAACCTAAAAAACCAAGCACAGCTTTGTAACGTGCGATGACGAAGCAGATTGGTTCGAACAGCCGCGAGCGTACGAAGCCTGTTAGCTGGCCCAAGAGACAGAGCAACTTACGCGTCCATGCATGAGTCGAGCCGGACAACGTAGACTGGGAAGAAGTCGACTGAGGCGAGCAGAACGTACGGACCCATGAACACAAACAGACCACGGAAGACACAAACTAGTAGAAAGTAACCAGTGTAAAAACGTCGCGACCAGCTATGCCCCTTTTATGTACAACATAAACAACGCTTTGTTTTTTAGATAACGGATATTGATTGTTGCCCAGACTTTGTTTTGCTATGCACAGTCACATGCCCGTCGGTGTTTGGCATCCGTTTGGAAATTGGTTATCATTGAATTTAACTTGCACACATCCTTTTCCGAACTTCCCAGACTGATTCTTTTTGAATGTTCCACTGTTTTAGCGGCAGTATTTCTTTTTGTATCCCCATTTTTGCCCCCTGACGGTGGCGCTGTTTGAATAGCCACAGTCCGATATGATTCTGCGTAGATGTGGATGACTCCGTGGCATACACAACTACGCGTAACTGGCGGTGGTGGCGATGCAGCGAAGCTTTGGTACAGTGTGCCGGCGTACTCCTGATGCTTTAGTTGGACACACTATCAACAACCGCACTGCCAGGAGTCTGCTGGAAGGTTCGTTGAAGATGCAGCTGCTAGGAGGATTAGGGGGCTTCTTTTTGGCCCTGTTTGTCACGGCATGCACGTTACTGAAGCCAGGATCTTCATCCCTTCCCATTATGACGGTATCATGATTCAAGTTCAACCAACTCAGGCACTCAGAAATCGCTGTTCTCAGATTTATTGTAGAGTCCTGCTTCATCTTATTGAGCAAGCGGGTACGAACATCTGAGTCCCGAGGCGACTGAAGGTGACAAACAACTACCAGCCACTTGGATTGCTATTTCATCGTTTACTTAAGCTTTCGTACTCTGTACCTTCTGAATCAAGATTCGATATTGAATCCAGACTCAAGGTCAGCTGGGTTATGTGAAACTTTCTGAACATGTATCCACCGCGTGCATATTCAATTTTTGCAGCAACTGTTCAATAAAGCGCTCTTGTGATTCCTCGAGTAACTGCTACTGTTGCATATTTAACTTCAGCCTCTCCACTTAATGTCATTTTTGTGGTCGATTCACACTTTTTGGTCTCCAGAAGTCTTTTGGTCTATAACAAGCGCTAAATCTTTCAGCACCTATCTACACCCAAAATCTGAAAGCAGTTGCTTGCCCAAGTATGTTGCTTGTCGAACTCTGAGCAAGTATGGATGGCTGAATTGAGGTGGATCCACACCGAACAAGTAATGGCGATCGAATCGTGCAACCATAAGCTTACCTGCATATTATCAGCCTGCTTTCTGCCACTAACATTCACACCGTGATGTCTGGCGCCCACTAATTCTTCGATGATCTGTACTCAACTTGATCTCATTACCATCAGCGACAAACGATCCACATTTTGAACATATACCTGGATTTCGACCTTGCTCTAGTGCGCGCACGCCTGGGGCCCACCTTTCCGGCTTCAACGAGACACCAAACTTCAGACAACAGGTGCTTGCGGCGTATTGATCACATCAGCTGGCAATACCGGATAGACAATGCTAAAGTCGCCCAGTTGGTGTTTGGCGAGAAACCATTTTCCTTCGTTTACGTTCTCGCTAACGTTCTCTGTTAGTCGCACTGTTCGTTATGCTTAGCACTTTGACTGCAAACGTTTGACTCTTGTTTCACCTAAAATCCTCCGTACATCCGTTGACTGCATTCTTCAGCATGCATTATATATTGCCTTGCACCCACTTGGACTTTACCGCCAAATGGTGAGTTGATGACAGGGTTTAGACGTAAGAAAAAACTAATTGTAATACTTAGTCAGGCAGCATGATCCACTTTAGTGACTGGGAGACCCTATCAGATATGGCGCAATTACTCAGTCAGTGGCTTTCTTGCATTCGATCTGTTGCATGTGACATAATATTTCATCCCGCTTAATTCTACTCACTTCTTCCTCAACCCCTCTTTTCTTCGTATTCCGTTTGCGCTTGACCTTTTTTCTTTCATTACTGACCTTTGTTGTTACTCTGGTAACGAGTGTTGTGTCTTCTGAATCCACCGCACTTCGGTGCCCGGATCAGCCATTTAACTACACTGAACTGAAGGTCTGGATTATTTATTCTGTCTCTCATCTTCTTCTGGGCTCCTCTCTATTACAAATTTAGCTGTGCTTTTTCACTCATATGATTGTACGGGTCTGAAGATGAATTATGGAAAATAATTGTTTACCTTCGATCTTTTGTTTTTGATAATGAAATGCGAATTTTCCATTAACTGAACCCGCTTTAATTTTGCGTTCGAGTCATAATCTATTAAATGAAGTGATGCTGGTCTTGTTTCCACTTCAGCATAGCTCCACCGTATATACTATGCTCATCTTGTGAAGTTGGTTTTTCATTCTACCTACAAGTTCCCCCCCATTTTCAGGAACACTGCTGCCATCACAATGAACGAGTCTGTGTCAACTAGCACATTCTTTTCCATTCCGAAGTTGCAGTCCATTGTTTCAGTACTCCTCGGAGTTTTTTGCATTTTGTGCTTTAAACTGCTTATCGGGTTCGGCAGAAAATGGAGAAACATACTCATCGATTGGGTGCGTTGTATTCCTTTTTCATCCCGGTGATTCACCTATTCACAATTTTATTAACATATACTTTGCATTGACTCCCAATATCCTTTCCCTAGGTTGGTTGTTAAGATGATGGGTTACTCCTCTGAATCAGCAATTCGTCTAAAGACATCTCTTGCTCACTCGAAGCAACCACTTCAGTGTACTGTTATAAACGTTTTCACTGGTAAATATTCGACTTCTGTACTTACCCACTCAGATACATACCATCGTTCACTGAAGATGTCACCTCAATTAGTAAACAAAATTGGTTTGTCGAGTTGTCCAACACGACGTACCAATCAGTGTCTCACGTTCTTACTCTCTTCATCGAAAAAATACGAGTACTCGCCAGGTGTCCGTTGGTCGTTACTTATGGAGACGGGTTGCGTGGTCCTCGTGACCATGCTAGACTCAATGAGTGGCTTCATTCATTCAATGTGGAACGGAATACGGCCCAGCCACCGTCTTGTGTATGTCTGGTACGCATGATTCCTAACTGAGATAGTCAGGGCTGCTGCTACTGGGCATGTTGAATGAGTTTGGGTTGGTCCCGTTGCCTCCTGTTCTTATTCCTTCTGGTTTACACTGGATATGGGGCGTGTGGGTGGGGCTGTATGTCGTACAGCGCACACTACCCATGGTCGCACTGTAGGCGCAGGTATTCTGTAGCTGTCATCTGAAGGCCGCAATGACAGCGAAATCCGGAATCAGATGCCGTCGACCATATACCCCCTGTGTTCCTAAAGTAAGTGTACTGGTTTTATATTTAGATGTATATAAGGCTCACCCGAAATTACCAGTTAACTTCTTCAAAGTATGCCCTGGGATGTTACACGCTGGTTCCAATGTTTTTTTCCACTGATCGTAGCAGTACTGAAAGTCATTTACCGTCAAAATGCTTAGTTCGTCGGTTTCAATTTTTGGATGTCTTCCACTGTTCCATGATGATGACCTCTCTACTTAGATTTAAACTTAGGGATGAGGTAGGAATCTCATGGAGCTGGGTCATGGCTGTAGGAAGCTTGTGGTAGTGTGGGGATACTTTTCTTCGTCAGACTTTCGAACTGAAAGCGCTGTGTAAGCAAGCGCGTTATCTTGGTGCGGCAATGTCCCTTCGGAATCCGTTTTCGAAGTCGTTCCAAGACACCTTTGTTTGTTTGTTTGAACTGCATTTTTATCCAAGCCAGCTTCTTCTGCAGGCATCCTGACACACAATCACCGGCCTTTCGCCATCACAGCTCCCACAACTTCCACATTTTGTTCGTTTGTTGACAAAATTGGCCTTCCGGAACGAGGTTCGTCTTCCACATTTTCGACCCTCTGTTAAAGCTTTGTGCCACATTAAAACCATATTTCTCGGTAATGTGGCATCTCTATAAACTCCCGTTAAATTTTCAAATGTCTTGGCGGCAGACTTCCTGAGTTTCACACAAAATTTGATAGCGTACTGTTGTTCGAAATTTCGCCCCATCGCAAACGCAACAAGGTATTAATACACGGCCTTACACAAACTTTTGTAGCGCGGGAATGACTCGGCCGATCGAGTTGAAACACCTCTAGCTATTTAGCCACGATCTCTACCGATGCTTCGACATCCACCAATGAGGTGTTACTTTCTTTAATGTTACCTACGAGACTCAGTACTCTTACTTTTGGGACGTAGTAGTATGTGTGTATCTTGACATCTTAAGTGAATTTGCCAATGTGATGCCCCGCTTGTGCTTGTATTCGGGTCGCCATCGTAAGAAGGGATCAAAAGACTATTCTAATTAGATGACTGACATCCGTGGAGTGGGCGGTATCGTCCGGCTATACAAGCGACAATGAGTTTATTTAGTGCTGAGCCACATCCACCACGTCGCATTATTAGACAAACCGTTGTGGCTTTTTATAGGGAGATGCTTGCCAGGCGGAAACCTACCACGTCCTGAAACACTGCTGCCGAACCATTCTCTGGAACGAGATTAACTCAAGCCAGTCAGCTGGCACCAGGTGGAGGTTTTTTACGTACCACTGCCAGCGCCGCTATTTCCCTCACCAGCTTTAATCTGTCATGTAATTATCAATGACATTGCGCTACCACGTTCCTACTGGTCCTGCTGCCATGGAACATGAAGCGGCCTCCGGATAAATTAACACATGACTTAACTACTTCAAGAACAGGATTCCTACTCGTCGTAAACATCTGACAGTCGCAAAATGCTAAGTTTCTAGCGAAGATAAGTTGGCGTCGACGAAGCGACTTTCTTTCGGCCTCTGCTTCCTAACATCGTATCTAACCTTATCTCAGTATCAAGCATGTTTTAACTGGGCAGTTGGATTCATAGACTACTTCAAGCGCGTTTCTAGTATCCGTCAAAAACCGTATTGTGTTATCTTGATCCTGGCGCGGGGTGTTTCGCATGGACAATGTCTTGAAGGTCCAGGCGAATCCGCATTACCAGGTTTCCTTGTCAGAGATTCCAATTATTGCTGCTATTTCAGTACTATCCATGGCTGAGTGAAGTAAACAAGTCCCTCCTCCGGAAGCGATGAATTGACATGCGGAACACGCCACTTCTTAAGTTTTATTTATCGATCTAACGAACTGACTTGATTATGAGTGCTTAGTATTCGTTTGCGCACTTCACCTTTGCGGTTAGGTTGCTTCTATATGAGATGAGCAGTTCTCCTTAGACGACAGTGAACAATTCTTTGAAGTCCTCTCCATCTTTGAAAAGAAGGAGTCGGCTTTCACTGCACTCATTGTGCTCCTTTGTGCACAGTTTTACTGATCGAACGAAATCCATTCTGATACGAAATGTATTGCAGATCCAATAAAGTAGTACTATATTTCTCGCTACATGAGCTACTTTCAGCTATCACGCATTAATAGATGCTAATTTAGGTTTTTTGGTTAGGTATCAAGGGTTAATTACCTGCACTTGCTCGTTGTCAAAACCAAGTTCGCATTTAGACAGTGTTTCTGCAAAGGCATTTGAATATGAGATTTACACACTAAATGACGCGACTGTTCTGGGTTGTTTTTTCTGACTTAATCGTGCTACTTCACGATTGTCAAATATCATTATAACTCCGTCTACCTAATTTAACTCAATCAGTTTTCCTCCCTGCGGGATATCAGGACTTGAATCGTACAACTGTATCTGGTCTGTTTACCATTACACGCATGATGACATCTACAGTATAAACAAGTAGAAATGTGAAGATGAAAAGTTATGCCGAGCGCTACAACTTGTAGACATGGGGTGTGAGAATTCACAGTATGACACGACCCGAACTGAGTACCTTACGGACACGTATATCTAACAGAGCGGGCCGATGAACAGCAGAATGCTCCCTTTCAATCCCTGAACAAAGTTAACGCCTGCATACAGTGTACATGAATGACAGTAGGCATGTTCAGCCCAACCTCGTTCTCATCAGATTCTTGTGTACACTCATTTCTTGGGTTATCATTTCACAGTATGGGGGCATCAGCTTGATGATCCTACAGCTCGTGCAGTGCGACTGGCCTTCTTTTAACCCTAGCATTGTGCTTTACTCTCTTCCGTGGATCGAAGCAGTCACTTCCTGCCAAACACTTTTGGTTATCTTACACATCACTAAGGTTCTTGTGGCCTTTTAGGGCCTCGTATATATATGGGGATGTTGCGATATTAGTTTATCAATCAAGAACATTGTAGGTGCTACCGGATTTACTTTAGATTAGAGTTGGCCACTGCGCTTTACGGCTTTGTGACGATTTGCAATCGACCCGCCTACGTTGGCCTATCCATGTCTTTCTACACCCGTTGACCACCTACCTCGATCATTGTTACTTACAAACGCTACATCTGTCAGAGCGAAGTCTTTTGTGTTTCTGCTAACAACACGGATAACTGATACAGTTGTTCGGATCGCGAACCAGCCACTTCCCAAATCAAAAGACTAAGTTTTCGACAAAACCTTCGATTGAGCCCGTAAAATTTGATCAAAATTGTTCCCGCTGTACAGTTCGACCGAAACATACATTCTTCGCGTTAGTTGGGATGAGAAATACCTACGTTATTCTACCTCATTCCAAGTGAATATACAAAAACAGTGAGGTACTAACTATTAATGATACAAAATTAAATTTAATGTCATGCTACTTTCCATATTTTTCATCGAAGGTGGACTCGTGGTTGTAGGAGCAAAATGTGCGGGTGGGTAGGCTCCTGGTTTGGTCAAAAAGTGTATCCAACCAAACGTGTTCATCATCCTTTGGATCACAACTCGGCAGTTGGTAGGCATCAACCGAGGCCGAATTGGAAGTGCCGTTTTTCATTCCTCTTTACCTTCATCGTTTAGCTTCCGCTCCCTCTTTCCATCCGTAGTCCAGTCACGGAAACAATGCACACCTCAGAAGTCGGCGTGCTGACATGTGCAACATGTGGCTGAACCATCGGTGCGTGAAATAATGGCACTGAGCGGCTCAGTTGCTCATCTTATACCAAATACGAGACGCTGAACCCATTTAATAGGAATGACTTAGAGGATAGGTCAATGCAATGAGAAGCTAACAGATCCCGGTAAATTCCCACCTTGGCTGACTCTAAGGCAAAAGCACTGTCATTAGCTGACTCAGACTATGAAATTCAAGCTGAGTCGGTTCGAGCTTATGTTGAGACTACCGGCCTGGAAACGGGCTTGAGCAGCTTGCATGAGTGGACTGGATCAACAAAGCCGCGAGGCGGGCAACCACCCACATCGTAAAGGAGCGTGAAGATTTCGTTATAGAAATTTAATTGAACTTGCATATAACATCTTTGCGAATAGTGGCGTCGAAATAGACCTCAAATTTAGTTGAATACCCAATATGACGTGCTTTATTCGATCAGTTAACAGCTTTCCTATTTTCATTCGCCTGCATCATACTGCTCATCTTTTCGTCCGATAAAGTTATCCTTTTTCTCTCTTCATCTTTGTTACTTATTCATATTTGCTAGAGTTGTAGTGAC